GATTACTTAAGTACTTGAAATTGAATGTTACTGTATACAATAGTTGAATAAAAATACAATCTCTAATTTTTCTTTTTGTTTTGAAAAAAGGCGTGTACAGATGGGGAAAATAATCACCAGACTTGCAAATTTATTTTAGTTGAGTTGCATGCCTATGCACGTGGCTCGTTTAATAATCAGTCGAAATTCTTTTCAATTGTCCCTTCTCACTTAAACTCAATTTAAGATTTGGCGATTTCTGCCACGGAGCTTTTTCTCATCAAAACTAGTAATGTTGGCAATGCCCAGGTAATAAAATAATTTTTTGGAAATGAACCTGCGGTGTTGCGTAACTTTTTCGCCGGGCATAACTCGAGCCGATATCTAGACTATCCTGAGTTTGATTAGAGCCCCCAAAGTCAACCGTCTTACATAAATATATTCTGCTGTAGATGTAAGAAACAAACACCTCTTGATGTTACTGAAGGAGTACTTTATATATAGGGGCGGATCCAGGATTTTAGAAGGGGGTCGTTTTTATTGATTCCCCCAACCCACGAAAAAAAAGGACTTTTTAAAATTCGGTGAGTTGACGGAACGATTCGAATCAAGCATTAAATAATTTAATTATAAATTAATATATTAGCATTAAACTCGATATATTTACGGTGCAGGACTCAGATATTTTCGATATGTAAGAGTATTTGTCGCATACTCGATTGACAGACCACATCTAAGATGATCTTGCGTTATAGAGTAAAGAGAAGCACTAATATACAAGACAGTCGAAAGTAATGGCCGAAAGTAGGTCGATGGCATTGAAAGTCACATACTCACAGGGCCCATTTTTGGGCACTTTTTACTTTTAGTAGAGAATTTTGCATACTTCAAGATGACTTATTTCCGTTTACAGCCACACAAAGGCAGTCAGTTGGGACATTTGATGCCACTCGCGCTTTACCCATCTTGGAAACATATATTTTGATCGTTAGGCCCTATTTCAAATGAATGAAGCTATAGGTATAAAATCCATCCCTGTGAAATACACCGCTACCATTTCCATGTCAAAAAAGATACCCTCTACCAGGGCGACAGATTGATTTTCCACAGATATTCACAAATAAATAAATAGACAGTCATTTTTGTCTGATGTCAAAAATATCCACAGTAATAACGTACTGCGGCAGCCCTGGCATTTGTTGACGGCAGCAATGATGGCTTGCCCTGCAACCAGCATAGGAGATGGACTTTCGCCATCGATGATTGGTTCTAAAGTTTGCCAAATATAAATTTAGCATGATGGAGACAGTTGCCACGCATATTTGCATACTGCAACGTGTATAGAAGATTCTTCGAAAAACTACAACGCAGAGATATTCGGCAGCTTTTTCGTATTCTTTTTTTGAAAAGGTGAGATTTTTCTATCAGTTTTATTCATTTTGTATATATCAGTCCATTTAGATAATTACGAAAAAAAATGGTGGTAACGACGAGGCCACAAATATATGAGTTTTAATGAATAATAGGTCGAATGGCGCAACACTCACGGCCTTGTGCTAAATGTTCCGGATAACGAAAGAAATGGTTGCATATTTAACTCCGTGGAGACTCGCTGATGGCAATGAGAATAGAGGGACACTCTTCCTGGCGTAGAGTACAATATAGAAAAGCTGGTGAACGTTGGAAACAAAAAAAAAAAAAAAAAAAAAAGGTGTTAATCTGTTAAACCCTCTTTACACTGGACGGCATCCTTTTTGAGTCCTTTATACGGTCATTACACTGGCTTGCAGAATGAATTCTCAATGATCGGCCAGCTGTCGGCACGTTAAGTATTAGTTAGTTTTCTTATTTTATTTTACATTCAAACGGGGCCATGCTACGGGACGCAGAAAGAACGCCGTCGAGTGTAAAGTTGGCTCTACAAAAAAAAAAAATAATAATAAATAAATAAATAAATAGAATAAAATAAAAAAGTGATACGTTAAATAGAAAAAAATACGAGCGAAGTACCAACCCAGCAGACATAGTCGCGTTGGATCAACGTTGAGAACAGGTTGATACGTTGAATTGCCGTTGATCTACCTAAATTCAACGTAAAATCAACGTTGATCCAGCCACGTCAAAACACCGTCATAATGTGACGCTGACTCAACGTTGTATTTTGGTCACTGACACAACCTTGCAGACATGGATTGTAATTTAAAATATTAATTATTGAAAACGTGATACTTTGTTTATCAATACTGTAACTAACTTTATCAAAATAATAAAAGAAGTGTTTTAAACTAAAAGTGACAGTTAACTGTTTTGTGTCTTTAGTGAACTAGTGAATTTTCTTAACTTGTTATTCAGAAATACATTCCAATAAACTTCCTTTCAAGATCAGCTAACACTGGGATGAATAAGTTGCTGTAAATGTGAGGGAGTGAAGTTAACAGTTAAAGTTGACAGTTCTCGGTACCCTGTTATAGATAGACAGCTAGGTTGAGGTGACTGTGACTTTGTTGTATATATATATATATAAACCTTGGAAATTTCAACTTAAAGGCCATACATATATACCCTACATGTATTTAGCCATTAATCATGTCCTACTGCTAAACACATCCAGGCTAAAAGGGTGTACCATGCTTAGGTGCAAAACATGCTTAGGAGCTAAATGCGTTGAAAAAATCAGACAAAGCATGCCAGGCACTTGGATGTTTTTACAGTGTACCTGTGTTTTGTACCAAAAATAAAAACATTTCAGGTCATTATAATGTATTTTCATGCAAGAATGTTGTCTAACAACTGGGATTTATACAATGTTGTTATCTGACGTTGAGTCAACTTTCAAATCCAATGTTTATCCAACGTCATAACAACATTATGGTTCAACGTTGTTTCAACGTTTAAACAACATAATTTGCTCGCTGGGAAACTGTTTGTAGACTAATATTATTGTGACATAAAAAAGTTTTTACAGGTAGATGTATTGTCCTGGTATAAAACACATGACCTAGATCCACGTAATCATCACAACCAAATCAATACACGCAGAAGTGCTTAAGCAATCTCACTTACCCTAATTTCACAGTTAGGGAAAGACTCATGGTCGTCAACATCTCAGGGGACTTTCTATCAACGATCGAAATAGATCCGAAAACCCCACCTAAATGTGAGGAATTCACTATCTGCACACATATATTAACATATTCAAAAAGGTAAGGCGTCTCATTAATTTATAGCTCATTCTAACCATAACAACTAGTATTACAAAAGCAAATATCTGATAATATTAAACCTCTTTTCGGTTTTGTTTTGCGCATATCTTGAGCAACGTGACTGTTGAGTTAACAGGTTTGGCAGTTTTTTTTCCTGAAAAATCGGACATGTTTGATTTTGTATGCAGCTTACCCAATACCTAAAGGTGCTGTATTTTATCCTGTATGATTCCTACCAGCTGTTTTAAAACTGCAATTTGACAATGCAATATTTAACAGCTGGAATCGCGCAAAGGTGACTAATTGAAGTGTGAGTTAAACTTAAAAGGTTTCATTGCAGAATCTACCACAATCGCTATGTGGGTGTAACAAATACGCACCCCATTTATTTATTTGTTTAAAAAGAAAAAAAATAGGGAAATAACACAAAGAGAATCTTGTCACATTTTGGTGAAAAATAAAATAAGGTGCTACATCAGTTTATCGGTCCGAAGCCACACGGAAGACGTACGGCAGCTGGACTGGGACTGAAAGGGCTCCGTACGATTTAACATCCGACTGAAAAACTAATTTTTCCATAAGTGACCTCCGCGACGCGGAGTTTGAAGTTTGAACTAAGAATATCTTGCAATCGAAAGTCACTGCCACAGCACAAGCAGCTTTCTGCTTTAAAACTGATTTTTCGTATTAGATTTATTTAAAAACATTGTAAACAACTCATAGATATATAGTATATTCTGCATGTTTTACCGCAGTTATAGCTATTTTTCTGGCTATACAAAAAAAAAAAAGGATTTACTTTGAATGTAGAAATGGATTCATTAACCATTGGTAAGTATGGGAAAATTGTTGTTTACTCCAGGAAAAATTATTATAGCAAAAACGAACAGTTACTATCCCTTTAAGTTGCAGAAGTGAATAACTTGTTTACTGCGTACTGTTTTACTGTGCCATGCATATATAAATTATAATCCACCGAAATTAAACCTGTGAAACATTAAGTTGGGAGTTTTACACGATCATGCCCGGTTTTAAGCAATGTCGTTGGCTACTAAATAACAGCGAAAACTAAAAAAGTGTAGTACCAAAAACACCAAAAATATATTTATTCACATATAAATCTTATAGTACTTTCACAATAAAAACATCTCCCAAACACCTGTTTCAAAAAAATACCAACAGCATCCCATTTGCACCTTATACAAATATATAAAAAAAGATGTTATGGAACTCCTATAGTTAATGCAAAAGTTTGATCCAATATTCTTTATAATATTTGATATAAGTGTATGGCAGTATATAATAATAACATAATTTCCAGGATTTGCTAGTAGTGGCCTCTTACAGAATTATACTGGATCCATTATCGTTTTTGCATTAAAGACACGTCCCAATTAAATTCACTGGGCCAGTTAAGATTCCCTTTTGCACTTGCATAATAATAATAATAAAAAAAAAACTGTCACAAGTGTTGTATTATGACAAATTAATCTGATCGTAAGCCCACATATATTATTTAGTGCCAACAACTGAAAATCAAGAAAAATATATTATTAGTTATTGGTATTTTAATTAAAATCATCAAACCATCAAATCATTCTTTTAAGAAGAATAATAAGTAGTTTTCTTTTCATAATGTTTGTGGTGGCAGTGCACAAAGTAAGGTTTTTGACAATTTTAATGCAAAATTACATAATGATAAACAGCATTGTGATACCAGTATGTACTAGTACATCAGCCATTAACAAAATAACTGACAAATGATATTATGAATATCTTTTAAACAATTTTTTTCTTTTTACTCTTTTACAGATTGAAATGGATTCGATGAGCCTACCAGCTGCATTTTTGTTCTGCTTGGAAGTATATCATTTCATAATCCATATGTCAATCATATTTCGCATGCGTTTGTTACCACGCAAAGATATTGTGCGACAGCGTTGCTATTTCCTTGTTGAAGCTATGACAGTGTTTACGATAAACGTCTTGTTTATTGGAAAACTTAAGTGGTTAGCAGCAATTCATAACATTCTGCATGGGTACTATGTCCTAACCTGGGATTCCTCTTCCCTTTGCAAGAAGGTACTTTTGTATCCATTTATTTACTTATTGGATTTTTTTAAAGATGACTGAAATGAAATTATATTTCAGAAATTTTTCTTTCAATAGAATTTTTGTTATCCAGAAATGACATGGGTATAAAATGAATTTTCTTTAGTTTAGAAACTACATATTTGATATTGGTTCCTTGCATGAAACACAATGACAAAAAATAAAATAAAAATAAAATAAACAAATAAATAAATTATAAATAATAATAATAATAATCACACCAATGGTAACTCAAAATTCAAATTTCTATTTTCCAAATATGAAGTTTTAGCCTTTTGTCATGTCATTTGCCTTGACTATACTACAGTATTTACTGGTAGTGATTGCGTAAAGTAAATATGTTTAGTTTGACCAATACAAATTACAATTATGTGATTTTGACCAAATCTATGTTATCATTTTAGCTGATAAGCTGGAGCTCTCTTGATTGGCAACGCAGTCATCACAAAAAACGCTGGGAATTGTTGGCAGTGTTTGGCACCACATATGACGTGCTTGTCCACACCATCAACTGCTACTTACTGGGCAAGTACCTCACCACAGTGGAAGTGATCATATCCCTGTTTATAACACATTGCCTGGTCTATTTTATTCTGCACAACCCGCTGTACGCCTGGAGTAATCCTGTCTCAACACCAGACTGGGTGGAGAAAAGAATTTTCCCAATCGGAGAAAATTATGAAAGTTGTGTCTTGAGTGGAGGTGATGCTAAGAGGGAGAAGTAATGAAGGTGATTTTAGGTGTTGAGTTTTACCAGGCCATCAGCTGTATTTTGTTTCAAATTCTTCAATCCCAGTGATGAAATTGAGTGCTAAAGTTCTTTTATAGACAAAAAAAAAAAAAAATAATAATAATAATAATAATAATAATAAATAAATAAATAAAAAAAATAATAATAATAAATAAAATAAATAAATAATAATAATAATAATAATAAACTTTGGAGTGTATTTTTGTTTAGATTTCATTTTGTTTTTTTTCTCAATGTTGCTGACAAAACAACCACAATTGATCTTCATTAAGGCAAAAGCTTTATAGAAATCAGCTGTATTTCTTTGTTTCAAAGAAGAAAACTATTTCTGATTTGAATGGAACAAATTCTTTCTAAATGACAGGATACAAGTCTTTATTTGAAGAAAAATGCAGACCCCAAGTTAAAAGCAATATTTGAAAGATCCAGTTGTTTTCTATTTGTCACAAATACATGTAAACTGGTGGTCAAATATGTTTCTTTCTAAGCTATATTATTTTACCCTTTAAAACATTTCATACATGTCTTTAACTGTGTTGATGAATAATAGTTACACAGTTCTTTCATAAACCCTTTTTTCTCTTAATGTTTACCTGATTGGCATTGTAATGATTATAAATATTCCATGAATTAGGTAACAAGTTATTCATTTGATTCAACATGATGCCAGTTATGTATACTTAATTTAGGAAGTGGTCAGGTCTGAGAAACAGTAAGACTGGGTTCATACAGATTTAGATCGATCCATCTTGATGACCTAACTCCCTGGGGGTTCAAGCTAAATTGCTGTCGGCCGAGCATGTACGAATGTTAAATACCTCCTTACAACTTTTAGTAGGCGGGACAGACATTTAAGCCGGCTAATCTGACAGCAATCTAGTGAGACTCCCCACGGGATAGATTGATCTAAAATCTGTGGGAATGCAGTCTAACTGTATTATAAAACCAGACTGTATTTGGTTAAAAAGACAGAGATACATCATAAATACAGGCAGAATTATATCATCTATTTAGAAATGTAGTGTTTTGGCTTTAATTACTGTACATGTGTATTTTTTTTTGTCTTTTAGATTCAGTTTTACTGGGTGGTACCTGGTTGTACTCTTTCTCCCCTGGACACCCTTAAGGTTACAAGAAGGCTGAAAAAAAAAAAAAAAACTTGTTGTATCAGTATCAGGGGTGGATCCAGAGATATTTTCTGACAGTCTTCCATATTATGTTTGTTGATCCATCCTCCATTTTTTGACCGTCTTCCGACAGAAAAATTAGATACCCGTCAATGTAAACTTGAAAATCTGACCTAAATCCGCCACTGAGTATGTAATATCTTTTGGCAGCACTGTACCACATGGACAGCACAGGAGGTGGGGGGGGGGGGGGGGGGGGGTTTTTCAGTTTCTCTATCGGTTTAAGTATG